TAAGCGAGGACAAGCTGGAAGACGTTGTGGAGGCATTTTGGATGAACTGCACAGTGAGTGAGCTCATGAAAGCCGGTTCCACCTGGAAAACCAAAGAGCAGATTCCGAAAGACGAAATGCACAAAGTGGAAGGCATTGGAGTCCAGGTAAGATTGAAAATTTGACTGCAAGGACGGTTTGAACTTTGTTAAGTGCCTTGTGCAGCCTAAACTTCGCGTCCGTGTGATGCGTCTTCGTCTGCCAGAAACTTCAAAGGCAAACAAAAATTGTCAGTTCGCCAAAAAATCACGAGCCCAGAAAGCGCCAGATGAACAGTCGAGAAGCGAAGCTGCGCAAACGCATTCCATGCAGAGCGGGCATGACATGGCAGTGCCCGCTGTCACTCCCACGCGGAGAATGCCCAGCGTCGTGCGGACTAAGTATGGCTCTCGATTGCGCATATGACAGGGCTTTACTGATGCGGCGATGAAAAGCGAGGTGATTCGATCGTACATACGAATACACCACACACCTGCACCCCCACGGGAGGCATCTGAAGACGAGGCCGAAACGTTGGGAATGTTCTTGATGATGGTGGTGAACAGACAGTGGAAGCTTCAATCTACTGCGCTTGCAGGTTTTCTATCACAGACGGGAAACCGAGAATCTATCGTCAGACAGCAGGCAAGTTGATTCAGACCCACTCTCATTAGGAGGCAGAAATAGGATGCTCTGTACAGGAACGGGTCTAATGCGTTTACCAGAAGACAGAATTGAACTGACAATTGAGAATGAACTATGTAAGACTTTATGCAGGCTTGTTTTTTGCGCCGTAAAAACTGATCGCATTTATGGCTTTCACGCGCACAATGGAACAGCCAGCGAGTGACAGCCAGGCGCGCTGGAATCGGGAGAAAAGGAACTTTTGTTCCACCCAATCGTTGCCCTGTCCGGGGGCGAGGTGGGCACTGTGCTGCGGGTGCTGGCGGAGGACTGATCATTGTACGCGGCTATCATCGTGTAACCTGGGTCCCAGGAAGCCGCCAGAACGTGAAAATAGCCACCGAAATGGGAACTGTCGCAAATTTACATTTTCGCACGTAAAAGCGTAAACGCAAACGGAAAAACCAAGCGGAATATCCGGAGTGCAGCATATAAAAGCGCAGAAACTAAATATTAAAACAGTACTTGCGTAACTGATCTTCTATTTGAATGGAAGCTACCCTCGTTGGCTATGATAGTGAAAGTATATGGACTCCATAGAGCGTACATACACTGCGGAAAGCTCGAAATCTAGATCCGAGTCCAGATGTTCCGGTTGCAGAAAACACAGAATTAACATCTTGGTACGAGACGGCTCCAGGAGACCATAGCCTTCCGATTTCAGGTGGATAAAATGAGCGGCCTCAATGGTCCGGATGTGTGCTGGGGCTTTCTCACAACAGTCTATGCATCGATGGACTGTGTTCTGTAATAATTCCCTATGTGGATCTGATTCTATATGAAGGTATCGAAGCTCCGAAGCGAAATAAACGGGGCGAGGAAAGCCCTCATCTACCACAATGTTCTTCGACTGCTGTGTGACCACTTCATAGCCACAGTGCAAGCCAAGTTGGGGCTTGAGGGGCTGAGCAACAGCGCACAAGAGATCGAGTCGTATTTGGTAAGGCTAGCAAGCGCCGTCAAGGTCATGTATGGGGTTGGCTTCGTCTTGGACGAGGACCTGCTGGACAGAGAGGTGTGGTCTGAGAACGCGGTTGCAGAGAGGTGGGTTGCAGCGTCGGGCAATTTCAGTGCACAATGAAGCAATGGTTGCATAACATGTCCTAGACAGATTCCACTGCGACTGAATGTGAAATTAATGCTAAGGAAAAGCATGCACCATCGACATGGGCATCATTTTGGTCACACCGATTCCGTAGGGCAGAATGGTCCGCTGGTGGCTGAGCCCTCGCTGGCTGCGCTGGGCTCGTTGCCCAGATGCGAAATGCGCTTTTGCTTGCTTATGTAGGCGATTTTAATTCAAGACGTTTTCTTATGTGGAAACCAAAGGAAGTCGTGAACTGAAACTGGATGGAGTAATTTCAAAGGCTTGCTGTACAGCTGTCATCCGGGCGGAGCCCGCTTTCAGTAGTTTAAATTAGCTGTTTTGTAGCAAGCAGCAGGCAGACAATTTCTCTTTTCGGTTTTCATTTTAGAGTGCCTGGGACGTCTTGTGCATCACGGATACAAATTATTTTCATGCCTATGCACATTTCTGAATTCCAACGCGACTTATTAAGCCCCACAGACCACAACTTCCCCCTTGATAGAATTTCATGTAACTAATATAGGTGCTATTTCTATATTCCTTGAACTGACAGGCTTCCCCTGGTCTACAATTGGAATTTTACCACGTACACACGATGTCAAGCTGCTCAAATCTTGTGCCATGCAAAGATGGCAATCCTTTGACGTTGGACAGGACTGGGAGCCTGTTGACTTCAAAAGTTGTCGCTTGCCCTGGCAGTGGCACTCTTGAGTCTTTGGGAACCAGACGTGCACTGACCATTTGGCTGTCTTACCACAGATCCCTGCAATGCCGACTTTTGCTTCAAGCGACGACAATGTACAACAGAATGGCGAATAGGATTCAGCACTATGCCGTATCTCTGATGAGATCGCGAGCAAAAGTGTGGGTGGGCAGGTGGAAGCACAAGGCACTATCCAAGCGAGGGAGGATCCAGTCTCCCGAATTTTTGACTCGTGGCGATTTTTGAATTCGGTGCTACTACCGGTTTCTTACAGGCGTCGGCCCGTTGATTAGTGGACGTCGTGTGAATTGGGTGAGCATTGCGCGGCACTCGTCTAATCCATTGTTGCGCACAGTGACCTTCGATTTTTGTACATGTAAGGACGGGTGGCTACGTTCCGTGAAGTAGAAGTTCTGCATGGCACATGTGCCCAATTGGAATCCCTCGCAATTGGCCGTGACGTACCGTCACGGTCTCCATCCATCGCGGCACACCCAATAGCGCCCACAAGAGAGAAAAAACTCATGACATTCAACCACGCCAAATTATATGTTTCTGGTACGACACCGTCGCTCCCTGGTTCCCCAACGATTCGCAGGAGTCGATGTACCCCCTCTGAGAGGATCCGCTCCAGCAGCCTGCGGTGTGGTGTGCCAAAATGCCCGGCATTGGGCCAGCCGCGGCACTTGCGAGCATCGATTACATCCTTTCAGTGCCCGATATCAGCTTTGAGCCTTGGGGGATCAGGAAGATACGATTTTCACGGCAACCACGATAATGGAAGTCTGACGCAATATCAGCGCAACATCAGCGTCGGGTGTGCTTCGTCTCTTTGGGATTCCGAGTGCGCCTTGGAGGATGTGGTTTGTTGTGGTTTTCCTTTCCTCCCTTTTCGCTGACGTTCATTGCAGGCGTAGATGGACATGTGTTGGACATCAGGTATGTATGCAGCCATAGTACCAATTGAGCCACTCAATTGGGCGACATAGGCCCAGTGTGCGAAGCTTAAAAGTTAGCATGTGTGGAAAGTGTCCACATCAATCCACGAAAATTCTCCTGAACATTGAAAAGCATGATTGAATGATACATTCCCGTGTACCACAAGTGGTCATGTGCAAAACTCGTTTATTGGCTCAACGGGCGGCTGTCTGCTTTCTCTTTCATACTGCGGTTGCCGCTGGCACAGCAAGATCGCAAACAAAGTGAGAACTGGTGGCCGCCAACCAGCTACAAGATGGATTGCCATCCCCGGTCTTGGGAAGGGAAGTGGCTGTCACGCATATGAAGCTCCTAGAGTACGGTGGGACTGGAGGTAGGGAGGGAGAACTCGATAGTGACTGTGGGTTGAGTCGCTTTGCACTGCGTCGTGACGTGGGGGCCGCAGCGCGCCCGATGAGGCGTCAGGTGACCTTGGGGCGTGGCACCTGACAGAACGGTTCACTGCCCACGCCTCCACAGGCTCCGACTGCGAGCTGCAATTTGCGGCGGTCGCCTTTGGGAAGTATGGGAAGCGTGGGAAGCACGCTGCACTTGGTTTTCTCTCCTTCCCGGCACCTCACGTGATGTGAATCATATCAATGTGACAACCATCTGATGATGGATATGCGGCGTATATCGTGGTATGTTCCTGTCACGCACGATGGTCTGATTCGTATCACGTGATGTGAATCATACCAATCATCAGATGATTGATGCGGGGAGGTTCGATATGTTTTACGCTCTTGCCCTTTCTGAGCCTTGGGGCCTTGATTTGATTGACGAGCATTGGATATGGCGACGCTCTTTGGTGTTGAACACGGGACCGACAGAGCCGACACAGCTGTACATGCGGCGTGAACATACGCGTCCACAGTACACACCGCATCGTTTGGCTTGCGCGAGAGAGGGAAGGACGTTGGGCAGCGTTGTGCGCTCGGAGGCGAGGGCAAAGGCGATGACGATAACTGTCCGATGCCGCGGGCCGACGGGCCAGACGGCGAAATTCGAAGGTGTGTCCTGCGCGGCCTTGTGGATCAGGCGGTGGATGCAGAAGGGGGCCCGGGAGGCCGCGATCCTGGAGGAAACCACTGCCAGTTTGCCGGCTTGGCAATAGCCCAGGGCGCCCTGGCTTTGCGAGCGTTGCCCTGCAAACGCAAAGCCATGGAGAATAGCTGCGATTATCCTGATTGAGATACCGAAGCCAGGAGGATCAGGCTGGACTTTCCTTGGCTGCAATTAGCAGTGGACCCGCTGTCTTGCGCAAAGGCTGCCCACGGCTAGGATTCAGGGGTGCAGTGCCGAATTGAATATCGCTCTGGCCCGCCCTTCAATGTCAACAGCTTGATCAGTGAAACAAGCAGGCCGCCTAACGTCACGCGGATGGTGTCTTGCACAAGACATGAAAGAGGGTGATTTGCATTTGTGCTTGAGAAGCACGCCGATCAGTGATAATGTCTCATATGGAGAATAAGTTGAGCCCCCTTGTCTCCTCGTGATTGCGCCTATCTTGCTGCAGGGCTTTACCCATCCATGAGCGTGGCCAGCTTCCAGGAGTTGCTTGCCAAGGAGACAGGTGTGGAAGCTGCTGTTCAAGAGGTCCTTGTGGGGTTCCCACCCAAGCTTCTGCAGGTGATTGTGGTTAGTGCTTGTCTAAAGCCAGCTTGCTTAACATGGAGTCTCCAAAGCTGCATTGGCCATAACATGGATACAAGTGTCTCTTGCTCTTGAAGTCTGGCCAAGAACCTCCTTGCTATACAAAGGTTGCAGAACATGATTGTGTTACGCTGTTGTTCAGCATGCTTATACCTGCTGCTGGCAGCTGTGCACCGCAAAGGGCAGTGCGCTGCATGCCATGCGAACAACTTGCGCATCCCAGCTAAACTCCCCCCTCTTGTTGTTTTGTGGTTGTGCCATATTTGTCTGTTGCAGCAATTCCTTTAGTGAGGTGTGTCGTGTGAAAACAAAGTGATATTGAGTGCCAAATGGTGTTTCTCCTTTCTTTGATTGATGCGTCATGTTTTGCAGCGGTGGGCCATATCCAGGTCTGTGCAGCTAGTAAGCTGAAGTCAGGCGTTCACGGAGCCTTGCGCCAGTCTGACCTGTTTTGCTCCAGTTGCTTTGCAGCTGCCTGCTGACCCCCAGAAAGCCCAAATATCGTGTCTTGGAATTGAAGACGGGGAGACGATTGTTGTCAGAAGGCATGAATCCCCAAGGGCAGCCGCTGACACCTTGAATTCACAAGGAAACCCCACGTCAGTGATGGCGGAACCAGCAGACACGGTAAGCGGCTGTTCCCATGTTTTCGTGCTGTCCATTGCTTGCTGCACATGCAGTGCTTCACTTGTGTTTTTTCTTTTCTTGCATTAAAAAGTTTTATATTGCTCTTAAGCACTCCCAGGTGCCACCCCCCTTCCAGCAGGAGTTATGCAAGGACTTGTTGCAGGACACCCTATAAGACAATTTTGGCCGATGTACTGTTTTTGCTATCGATTACCATAGTCTGTTGAGCCTTTCCACATAACAACGTAACGTTTGGCCTTTTCATGGGGAAAAATGATAAAAACATAACGGTGCCAAGAACATGTGAAGCAGCCCCAGCCCGCAATGCGAAGGTCTCTGGACTGCTCGTGGTGTCTAGCTGCCCCACATGCACGAGTTGCTGTGGCAGGAACTGGCACTTGAGGGCATGCGAACTGCGTGGAGTCGACATTGCGGCTGTGGCCATAATATGGAGCTTGCAAAACGGTCTGTCGAAAAAAATGTGGAGCAAAACTCGTAATGCTGTAATCCCAAAATGCGGAATGGTTGAGTATACTACTGTAGGGCACAGTTGGCAAAGCGATGGCCAAAATATGTGCTGATGCCTATGTGGGGTCGATATGTGCTGACACCAGCATATGCCAAAACGAGTCTAAGCTGTGTGCGAACAGCGCTTGGACTATGCAGCAACCCAGTCGAAGTGAATTGTGGGCTGCAATTTAGTCCTCCCCTCACTGTGACTCCACCCTCCAGATTCTGTAGTCTGTGGGAACTCAAGAATGGCAGTTAGGTTTCATTCTGGGGTGGCAAACAGAATAGATAGCTAGAGGGCACAGGTCCAATGACAACTGTCAGATGAGTATCGCAAGAAACCTGCCTAAGCTGTCTTGTACGTATGTACATACGTCTTGTAGCTGGCTTGTAGCTGGCTTGTAGCTGGCTTGTAGCTGGCTTGTAGCTGGCTTGTAGCTGGCTTGTAGCTGGCTTGCACAGATGTCCATCACTGTGCTCAAGAACTTGCTGGTGCCATTCCTGCCCCAATGGACTCTGCTGCTGCCCCCCTTCCCTCTCTTTTTCCTAAATGTTTGGAGTTGACTGCAGCAACATCCCAGATCCATCAAAACATGGTTAAGATCTTGCAATGCCAAGCTTCAAGACTGCTGCTGTGTCAAAACTTGAAGAAGCACGGTTGCAGTAATGGTGTCTAGTACTATAATTTTTGTGTACTGTGCTTGCATCAGTAGCCAGCCCTAGACACCCGCATGCCAGGAAAGGTATTTACAACATTTTGTGGCATGTTTTCTCTGTATGTAGGTGGACGATGAGAGTATTGCGCGAGCGCTGGCAATGTCTTATGGGGATTCAGCAGCGGGACCTGGTCCATCTGCACCTGCATGGCACGACGACGTAACAATAGGAGACGGTATGCGACTTCATTCAGGCATTGCATTGCACTGGATTGTGAAGCACTTTGCCTGCTGGCCGACACACATGGTGCAGTGCTTTTGCATGCAGTTGTTTGCGTTTGGAGTTGCTTGCATGTGTGATTTTGTGTGCATCAATGATTTTATGCTTTTAAGTCAGTTAGTGTGGCACAGCCTGGCTGGCCCATGCAGCTGCTTGATGAAGGCATGACATGGTACAGCAAGGATGGTAAGATACACTGTTGTCCAGAACCAGTAGTGCAGCTTTTCGATACAGGATTGAATGCACGTTGGAATCAGCCTTCCTCGACATCGTCTTCGTCTGCTAACAGCCCATGCAGCTGTTACGAAATGCATTGACAACCATTCTGCTGTCCAGTATTTCTTTAGCTGCGTTGGTGTGTGCTTGTCCCTAGCGCCATTAAGGTAGGCCGCTTGCCGGGCTACTCTTCTGGTGGTAGATCACAGCTTGCATGTGCAGGATGTTGGCAGCATTGGGTGTGTTGACTGTGCAATGCCAAGCACCACTGATGAATAGCGAACAGTTGTGTAAAATGTGGTTACCAGACTGTTGTGTTTCAGAGACCGGCATGCCCATTTCTTCTGAGGTTCTCCCCGATGGCACGTGCATTGTCCGGAGATACGTTGACTCGGACAATTCTTGCCTGTTCACTGCTGTCGCATATGCGATGGAGAACAATCGTCTGAGGGGCTATGACTTGCGGCAAATCATCGCAACTGCCGTTGCCACGGATCCAACCACCTACAACGAGGGTGTCTTGGGAAAATCTATACCAGAATACCAGCGGTGGATCTTGCACCCCCAGAGATGGGGTGGCCCGATCGAGCTGTCCATCCTTGCTTCCTATTACAGAACACAGATTGCTGCGTTTGACATTCAAACAACGAGATGCGACATTTATGGCGAGAGGGAAGGGTATGCGGACCGTGTAATGGTAATTTACGACGGCCTGCACTACGACGCTCTGGCACTTGCTCCAACCGAGCAGGCAGATGAGGATTTGGACGTCACAAAATTCGATCCACACTCGCAGTATGGAAGCGTGATTATGGCTGGAGCCAAGAATTTGGTACGAAGCAAAGTTGGCATTGCAATTCAGCCCTCAAATTTGTCTATCTGCAGTGGCCTTGCTTGTTTGTATGCATCATAGAGAACGGGGGATAACGCGGATACTCTAGATAGCGCAAGGGGGGCGCTATCCGCTGGGGTAATGCCTCCTGGCGTTATCCATCATCCTTGTCGTTGCAAACGCCGGGGAAACTTCGGATAACGCGAGGGGGACACTGGATGATGCAAGGGATTCAAAAGCACAGAAGGCACAGCCAATCCAATCCCATACAGGTTTGGAACATGGAAAGCCAGCGCAATGGTAGATCACATGTGGCTGCATCAATCAGCGCAACCCACGTAACATACAAACACAAAATGGGGTTACAACACCCAACCATAATACCATACACATATGCGATTAAAAACCATGTTGAGCATAGCCTCGTCATATTAGGATGGCCAAGTGCCAGTTGGCCATTGCCTCCTATGGACTTCAAACATCCTTGTCACAGCCAGCAGCAGTGCAGGAATAGATTCTGAGTGTATTGCTCTTTACTCAGTTTACACCCATTGATTCTAAGTCGAGTGTTTCTGATCTGGACCATATTCTCGAAGTCATCTTGATCAAACTTCATGCTGCTAGCATCAAAATCCGAGCCATCCAACAGATCAGCAAGGGAACCAATGTCTTATGGGATGAATGGGGCAAGGTGCGCTAAGTGGCGTCGGGCGGCGCCGCCAAATTGTGGAGAGATTGAGCGGCACCCCACGAATTGCTTGGACGCGGGGGGGTGGGGGGTGGGGGGGTGGGGGGGAAGGGGCTGCGTCTCAAGTGTTGCGTAATGCGGGGCAACGCTGGATAACGTGGGGCCACTCTAGACAACGACCCCGGCGTTGCGGATATTAATAGAAATGCTCAACGCGGGGGGCGTTGTCCCCGTTCTCTACGTTACTGTGCGCATCAAAGAAAGCCACACTTGCTGAATTGCACAGAGGCGTCTGGACTTGACGTGTTCTTGTGACGATGGCGACAGGTTTTGAAGCTGCACGCGACCTGCCAGTTCACAGACACGTCGCATTTCAAGCTGCGCTGTGGACAATGTGGCACAGGCCTCACAGGGGAGCTCCATGCCATGGAGCATGCACAGGTCACGGGCCACAGGGGCTTCGCAGAGTATAAATAGGGGCGACTGCCGCCATCCTATTTCAGACCCACCTCCACAAAAGGGCATTTCTTGGTGCCCGTCTTAGGTGGTGGCGTCCAGATGCACAGCGGCGGAAAATGCAACACCACCCTGGGCCTGTGCATGTTCTTCCTGCACTGGCAGGGTGCAATATCATGGCAGGTTGCAACCGAAGTAGGTGCGAGGTTCCACAAAACAGCGTCGTCAACCGGAATTCTTCCTGCAGTCACACGTGCAGTAGTGCGAGCCATTCTGTCTTGCGCTATTGTGTTGCTTGTGGACTGCCTGATGGGATAGCTGATAGTGCTCTGCTCCGTTGCCATGACTACTGGTGCACGAAACAGCGTGAACACTCACTCCTATGACGTACGGTATGTGGTTGCGGCGCTGTATATTGCGCTCTTGCTGTTTGCAGTTTCGGAGACTCAACACGTTCAGGTGACAAGCTAGTAACAGCTCCCCACAAGCCATGAGCAACAGCAGGAGAGGGAGCAAGGATTAGAGCGAGGTGGATCACTGACGTGGCTTGATGCTTGATACGACGTCCTGGAAATTTAGAAACGCTGTTAGACCGCAGCATCAGTTAGCAGGAACCAGAGCGGCATTCCGAATGCTTTTCAATTTGTAAAGGGCGAGTGGGGGTTTGGCTGGGTAGGTTCGGGTACATGGTTGGGAGGGAGAAGGTGGCAATTCTTGAGCATGGCGCCTTGCATGTTAATGGCGCCTCTCAAGCAATGCTCACATGCATGCAGAGCCACTGGCAAGGTCTCAATGCACAATTTTGTGATTATGTGGAAAGCGCCTGCAGCAGAACTTACAGCAGCAACTGTGCGACAGACACCCCATTCTCCTATGGACTGAGCGTAAGTGACCTCGCTATTCGACTTCACAGCAGCCCGCGTCCATAGCCTGGATGCCCCAACTTAACGCCGAGACGGTTCAAGAATACGATGGTCTATTTTGCTGTGTCCTTCGCACTAAATTGGTTCTTTGGCAGCCCGGTGTCCAGGCCATGTTGTGAAGAGACTCAGGACGACTGCATCCCCGCCTGCTTCACGCTCCACCCCCTGAATTCGCACCACAGACCCGTCACAAGTCACCTAAACAGCCGCGCCGCAACAACAAACCTTGTGGGGCAGAATTCCGTGTGGTCATTCTGTGACGGGTAACGTCGAGCAGAGGCTCGAGGGTACCGTTGCGTGGGGAACTATAGACCCCCCAGGAAAGGGTTCCCATAGCGCCTTGTGCACGGTCTCCTCGCCGGACCGTATCACAACTGCAATTGGCGCCTCCTGCACTGCAGAAGGTGCTGCTGTGCTGGACGCATCCTCCCCCGCAGCCTGGGCGTCTGCATCATGACCCCACACCTGGGTACACAAGCGACGTCCGGATGGCGAATTGGGCGCAATGTATGTGTCGTACATACTCAGCAGGTCGCGCTTCGTGGCTGTCTCCAAGGCGGCAACCGCTTGGATGCGACGGTCGAATTCGTAGCGTCGAGTCACGATGTGGCGCCAAAAGTTGGCAGCAGCCTGCGCCGGTGTCTTGGGTGGATCTAGGTACCTATCCTTCAGGGACGCCTTGTACTTGTCCAGGTCGCAGTTGGACATGTCTGCACAGGAAAGACAGCGAGGCGTTACGCAATGGCGCCAGCAACGGCAGATCTTCGTGCTCATAAGTGCATTGTCGTTGCCACCAACGCAAGGCACAGCAGGTTGCCTTCGGGATGAGCCACCCTGCATTCATGTGGTGGGTTGTGGTGCATGATCCCAGGACCCTTGGATAGCTATCCACATTGGCATGCACTAGGTGCACAGCCCGCTCCCAAGCTGCCAATTTGCCACAACGCTCTTTGGTGGTTTGCGAATTATCAGATTCGGAAGGATGGCATTACGTCGATTTTGGCACCGCTTCAGTTAGATTGAAGCTGAGCTCAGATTCCCCTTTCAGTGCCAGTCCTTCGGCCGATGCTGGCACGACGCAGAAAGATTACCTAACAATGCGCTGCAACAATTCAGCATAGAAGAGGGAATGCTTATATGTTGTGGGAAGGCAAAATATTAATGGAAAGCAAATGATCAGCGCTGTAGCGATTGTCAAATCAGTGACAATTTAGGCCTCTTCTTGGGTTGTGTCGATTCTGTGGCGATTACGAAACTTCTCAATACCACAGGTTTAGGAATTCCCCTCACAGTTAATTTGACGTCGAGCTTACTAAACTCGAGATAAGTCGTCTCTTGCACGCACGAACATGAGATATCATATTGAAATGGATGCCCTCTCCTCAAACATAGAATGAATTTACCATTGTACATCTTCTGTAGGGACTCGATAGCCAAAACGTACGCTCAAGTGAAGCCCATCACGCCCAGATGTCCATCTCTACTGACCTTCAAGCTGCCGCCGAAAACTGACGAGCCAAGCATCAAGCCGCTCATGCAATTTCCTGGGTGTTGCCTTAGGCGACTGTATGCGCACTCCGACAGCGACAACGTGAGCCATGAGAGACATCTCCAGATGAACAACGTAGCCGAGGCACTCAACAGTGCGAAGCTGGTGAAAACAAGATTTCTGGGCGATTGCTCGGAACAGATCCACAAGGGACAGGACGCGGGCCTCGTCGGTGCCCACCTGCGGTGAGGACGCAGCGTATTCAGCAGCAAGCGGTGGGCCAACGTGGTTCTAACTCATGACATCACAGGATCAAAATTGACACTGCGAATCGCAGAAACGCGTGCTGCGCCAAAGACAGCACATGGTAAGGATTGCCTTACTTTACATCTAGCAATAGAAGCCCCAGGGGGGAGGAAAGGGGGTCGAAAGATGCAAGGCCAGTTGGTTACACATGTCAGGCAGCCACAAGTCTTGCGGCATGAAGTAAATTTGTGTCAAATACTGTTATTCAACGTGAGTTATGCATTTGCCAAGTCCCGCCCCCACGGCACAGGTGGGCTAAACAACATGGTTTTTGGCAAACCTCGCCGCACAAGTCCTGCCAAAGCGATTCACGCACTTTAGCTGTAGACTTATGTACCTCAGGATGGAAAGCACGGAGCCGATCACAACTCATCGTCTATGGAGTCCATGACGCAGTGGGCGGCCACTAACCGATTCCATTTCCCAACCTAGCAGCCACGGAACTGTTCCAATCAAAATGCGACTGTCCAGCGAAGCCCACTGCCGCATGGTCGTTTAGCATCTTCTCATGTGATCTACCATTGATGAGAACTCGTGAGTACCAAAGAACGCATCGAAGCGGGACGAGATGCAGTGCTGTCGAAAGCGGCTTTGCTGCTGCAACGTGGCATTTCACGTGACATTTCTATGCATGTTGGAAATCTTCAGCGAAAACAAAGAACATATGCCAAAGGAAAAAATGCCTCTGCAGGTTGCCCTCAATCGGAGCAAGCAAAGGAGATGCTCTTAGTGCTTGCGTGCGACTTGTTAAAGCTCACCTGCATCAAGACGTGAATGGCAGAATTTGCGTTGTCAGGGTTAACATTGTCTGGAACATATTTAACACAGTGTGGTTGGCGCCCTCGGGCAACATCCCGTGAAGTCTCCGCTGCATCTTCCAAGCTGATAGTGGCAGCGTCGGTCGAAAGGCTGTCGCCATTTCCAAAGGGCAGACCCATGATCCGTTGCACTGGCCATTTTTCGTGCGCATCCAGACCAGTTGCCCCAAGCATTCCTTCGACATCGGTCCAAAGCTCTGAAAATTTCCCGAAATCGCCAGGCAAGGCAGAGCGGTGTCTTAGAAGCGTCCGATGGCACTGATCAGCCGAGAAGGGGCAACAAGAAACAGCGAAGAAAGCACATCGGGAGCGAAGACAGCACATCGAGAACAAGTGCAATGTGAACAAAACAACAGCGCCTGCCCGCGGGCAACTGGACGCTATCTCTTGTTTTCAGTTGAAAGAATGCGTACAGGCCCTGACGCTGCAGTCAAGTGAACTGCGCCAGCACTCCGAAGTCTTCAGTACACCAACGTTGGGAGTAGCTCCAAGCACCTACCACCCACCAAAGAAAACGACGGCTCTTTTGTGGAGATCCAATTGCAGGGGAATTTGCATGAGCGCCAAGTGGATACTCACCCAATGTCTCCTCTGTCGTTAGATTTCCATGGGCCAAACCCTCTGCATACATGTCTCGAGAGAAGGCCTCCCAAAATTGGACCACATCCTCAGGTGTGACGCCATCACAGGCTTCCAGCAATTGGTTGCTGTGATGGCTAGGTTCAGTAAGCAGATACGCGGTTGACACTGCTGCTTGCAAGTGTGGGTCCATGTACTGGGCATTCTTAAGTTGTTGCACTAGTCTGCCATGCATGACAGTGAACCTGGACAAAACCACATCCATTGATACAGGCAGGTGCAGCACTCCGCCTTACTTACACGCACAACTCCCCAGCCCAAACATGCAAATCTGGCACAGATAAAAGTGCTCAAACAATGTGTGCTGAATTCAGCAGACCACCACAGAGCAGAAAGTAATCACCCAGGGGAGAAATATAGCAGCAATGCTCTCCATGGCACAATCGAATCTCTTTCGATCAGATTCAGTCCACAAACTTCAATCGGCACTGAGAAAATTGTGGCAGGGGGCTGAAAAATAATCTGCAACATGCCAGAGCACATTTGTATGCACATGTGACAATGCTAAACAAAACCATACTGTGATCATAATGTGTCAAAAATGCCAAACATGTGTAGCAAAGGCACTGAACAGTGATGCCACAACAAGATTGAGACCACGCAGTGTTGCTATTTTGCAAGCTGAGCATTCCAATATAACATCAGAACGAAACTGCCCAAATGTGTACCGCCGGGGCAATGTCACCACCACAACGCATTCTGATTCAGCCATAGTCCAACTTCTGTACCTGTCTTCAATCTCATGGCGGGACAGGTTGGTCAGCTTAGCCATGACAATGGGCACCAGCCGCACTAAGGTCTCGTTGAAGCCAAAAAACTGAATGTGCATTCCAGTGGCCACGACCGTCAGCGACCAGTGCGTGCTGACGATCTCTGCGCTGTATGCAGTTGGCAGCAGCACATCGGTCACAACTCTTGCGAACAAGCGAGCTGCCACTGCATTTGGTGTGGAGGCTGCTGCTGGGACATCCAACACAGCGACATCAATGGCATTCCATCCATTTCAATTTGTGGTTGCACAAGGTGACAAGGGAAGTAGACAAGGCCAGAGGAAACAGCATCTATGCAATTACAATGGCCAGCCTGGAATGAGAACACAACCTGAGAATGCCAAACATGTGCATTTGAGGCAGTGGGCGCCTGAGCAGTGACAGATTTTCTGACATTAATGAGTAATTACATCTCCAGTGCAATCACTACCACGCAGCTGCTAGTTCCCACCAAAAGAAGCGTTTTAAGAAAGAAGCAATCAATTTCACTCACCTGTGGCACTTTCAGTGTTGGAAAACGTACCTTTGGAATCCCAAACGTGGCATCATGACGATACCAGAGCCTGGTTGCGCTGCTATCTCTCACCACCTTTGGAGGATCCGACCAAGTAGTCTCAGGCGATGCAACCGGCCTCAATGACAAATCGTGAGGTATGGCCCAGCAGGCATCGACCAACCGCAGACCAGTGTCATGGTGGCAGCCAGATCGGATGTCGTTGATCAGGTCATACAGATCGGTGGGCATTGTCATCTGCGAGTACTTGGCCCTGTAGTTTGCCTCAATGGCGGTTGTAGTTCCTTCAAAACGCTTGCTGACCACGAACACTGACATATACTCCGGAACCAAGAAAGACAGGAAAGTCTTCAAGGAGGGCTCTGTCAGGCAGAAATCAAGCAGCCAGTGTTAGGTTTACATGTAAGTTTTGGTGATGAACACCATCTTTTTGGCCGCATTCCCCAGATATGGTGAAAGCATCGCCCTGACTACCTCAAGACGGCGACAATCATGGCTTAAAGGCGTGTCTAAATTCCAACGATTGAAGGTATGTGGAGCATCTTGTACCTCACAAAGTAACAAGAGCTTTGTGCAAAACTGATGCGTAAACGAGTGTGTCCACAACAGCGGGCAGAACAGCAACACTGCCTTGTATGCAAATATTACTTTGAGGATGCTGTCAACGTGGCACAATCATTCTGGCATTTGTGGGTGCAACAGTTTAGGACTCTCATGCGATTCTTTCAGAGCCCATCAGACAGTTTAGCACAAAGTGCTTGTATGCCTCACCTGCATACTCCTGCAGGAGCGCTGGTCCCGTCAAAAGATCTGAGGCTTCATAATGTCGCACATTGAGCGCCAAGGCCAATGCATAGTTTACAGGTTGCTCACGGCTTTTGTAGTCAAAACGAATCTGCTCAATCTCTTGCAATTCCGTATATGTTGTTTGGCATGCTGCAGGTGGCAGCCGCCTCAAAATCTGCCGAACAATACAGAGAGAAGCTGGTTCCTTGGACATCATTGCAGGCATTGCAATATTTGAACAGAGCATGAAAGTTTTGGACAGCACTGAGTGGACACAGTACACCTTGGACATGCAACCACAAAGTGGGGGAAGGCCGATGTACTGATGGTGTTGCTCAATGATAACACGCCACTCAGTATCAATCCTTTGTTATACAACCTGTACAAGTTAGCCAATCGAAAGAGCCACACTAACCATCCCATTCCCGCTCCAACATAGCAAGTGTTCCCTGCAATTGACACTACACTCACCTCAATGCTCTCATACACTGTTGCAACGATTTCTTGTACATGGTCAAGCCCTTTCTCGGTGAGCTGCATTTTGCAGTGCCACAGCATAAAACCTGCTCCCCTTCGCACTTCTTCCCCAATACCAGCAACAAGAGATTGGATCAGGCCTTTTCGTTTAAGATGGCTGGCAGCACTCCCATCCCCTTCATGCCCAACGTGGTGCCCAACCCATCTCCATGGCTTGCAACTGCACAGAGCACATTTTGCTGATATAAATTGATGGCAATCCAGGTGATTGCCTTCTCTTACTATCGTTTCTTTTCCCCTATGGACGGGAATGGATGGCTGACTACATCGCAAAAATGTGTTTTGAACACAAGCCATCTTTGCAAACTACCCAAACACAGTGCACCTGTCAGGTGTGCAAAGTATCAGAGCATGAATATCTTCAATGGGCCATTCACACACCCTTCATAACGTCCAGCCCATGCAATGAACAGTAGTGATGGTGATACAGTGAATAAAACACATGTTACCAAGTATAGGACCTGACCACACAACAATCGCAATGACTTTCCCACAGTGCTTGTTCCCACCATCGCCATTGGCAAGTGCAGTAGAGCATATGCTGCTACAACAACACAGCAGATTGCAAGCATGTGCTTTCTTCACCTATCACAGCACAGCATGCCAACAGCCCCACATTGTGCACTTTTTCCAGACTTTGCTCCCAATCCAGTACTACAACACAGAATCACAATTTCGATGGTGGGCTTGGCCGCACCGGTTTTCGGTGTGGACCCCATAAGGTATGAACCACACCAGGTCCAGAGTCCGCAGCTCTCTTAGGGGGGCGACCTCATAGTATCTCAATCCCCAGGCCTTGGCATCTGTCACATTTGTCTCAAATGGGGAAGGTGCCCATTCTCCTGTCCTTGGGGGAACAAGGGAGAAAGACTCCAGCACCCATTGCTCGACATCGTCGAGGCTGTGGGGAGAAATGACTGCAAGGGTCAAGTTGTCTGCCCGAGGCACCACATGCAAGCCAACATAGTGAGTCAGCCATACATCTGTGAGTTAGATGCAATCTTTCCCAGATGAATACGGCTCAAGATGTGCCTTCTACATCTGTCAGCATTGGGTCTTGCCTTTATCTGATGTTTGCTGCCCTCACCACACACACATGTGCATCAAAGTTGATAACTGCAAACATGGCCCCTTGAGCATATGTGGCTGGATGAAAAGCCAAACCGCGCTGCACACAATGCTTTCGCAACCAGTTGGTTTTGCCACCACTTGAAAAGGGGAAACGAAAAAACCTATTGACAGCAAAAGAAAACAGCAAGATGCCTCACAACATCAGAAAATGATATTCAGTGATGCACAGAATGCAGAGCCTTATTCAGAACCTCACCTCCCAAGCAGCCTTGTTTGTGCCACTGCTTCAGTACCTCAGGCACATTAATGCCAAGTTCCTGAAAGGAAGGAGCACATGTGTATTAGCTGTGCCACTGTTTCCTGTAGGGCTGTCTGCAAGACCAAAACTGCAACACACTCAGTCGGCCTCGGTTCCACAGACCCAAACATACGCCATCCGAATTGCAGGCCCCAGAAACATAAACATCATATTTCATGCCTCTATCTGCAGTGTGGTTGAGCAATGTTCTTCCACACTGCACATCCCTTTCACAACACTTGTACTCAAAGTAAATCGATGGGTAGGGCGAATATCATCCACAAGATCGGACACCATAACTGGTATCCCAGCTTCAAAGATTTACAATGCAACCTTAAATAATAGAATGCACAAAAAGGAAGCACTGCATTCACAGGGAAGAATAGGAACTCCCTTGGTTTGAAGCTTTGATCAGCATCGAACAATCATCACGTCCTGCCATGGCAGAGAAACCTACAGCAATCTGCAAATCGCTGCTGATGCTCACCTTTGGTTTGTCACGGAGGGTAGTGACACTGCCGGTGCCAAATCTGTTTAAGGGAGCAGGGCCCACAGAGCGTTGCAAGTTCAACAGCTTGACAGCATCTGAATTGCTGCGCTTGCTGTATTCTGAATCTACATTCAGCACCTCACGATCCAAGGCCTCAGGGAGGAAGAGGGGATCAATAAAGAAACGGGAAAGCCTGTCCAAAGCCTCTTTCAACATTCAGCACCTCACGATCCAAGGCCTCAGGGAGGAAGAGGGGATCAATAAAGAAACGGGAAAGCCTGTCCAAGGCCTCTTTCAAGTGCTCATTCTGGACCTCAAAATGGAATCTTGTTTCTATCTTTCCTGTAAATTGAATGAAAATGGGGTCAGTGAGCGTGTCTTTGACTCCTTCTCTTTAGGAGAATGAGTTTCGTTTTCTCTAGCAAATGATGCAAATTCTCTTACAATGAACCAAAAAAATACATGAAACCAAGACCGCCAAATGTCAAGGCATGCTATAGTGCACCGCACACTACGAGTAAGCTGCAGTGTACAAGGGAGCAACCCTTCAGCAACTTTGTCAGTGTGTAAATTCTATAATCGCGGGCTGTGAGCTACTCATCAGAAAGTCCAGTGCGCGTCTGTCACAATATTTTTGTGCACAGATTCCACGCATGTGCCACGGCACAATTATGGTTAGGGCCCCAAGCACCAAACTAAGGACTGAACAACACAGGAAGAATGCTGTGCAGTGTGAAACGGATATTCAGAATCCAGTTTGACTGGACTGAAATGAAGCAAAATGGCTGGACATAGGATAGGTGGAAACACCATTTTCCTTGGAAAAATTTGCTCACATCCAACGAGTGTAAGGAGGAATGACGCTCGCTGATGGGCAACTGTGGCGCATTCGCGACAGTATAGGCAAAGATCACTTGGCGTACGATAAGATGGGGCAGATATTGCAGGTGCTTGGATGAAAGGGTGATGTGTCAAGGTAGTGGTGGTACCAATAGTTACTCCAACTGAACTGTTCATCGTCACCAATGGAAACAGATTCACAGTAAGTGGACAGTCTGTTCATCGTGGAGGCAATAATGGTAGCGATCAGGAATAGCTCAATCGGATGGTGTTTGCCGCCAAACCGCCTCCAGTTCATATTTCTATCACATATCGAGGATGGCCCCAATCACGCCTTTGCCATGGAAGGATTTTATGAGGCTAACTGCAGGCATGCAATTTCATGGGGATGTGAAGAAGGCCATGGCACATACCTCAGCGATTTCAATCGTCACGCTCGTCATCCATCAAGTTAAAGCCAGATCGGCCGTTGGGTACCATGTGCATGTCACTACATAAGCGTCGCAGTGCCGTGGGAGCGATTGTCTCGCCATCTTCGGATTCTGGCTCAATGATGACCCGTTGAGCGCAAACCCAGGGGCTACATATTGTTACAGGTTTCACACAGTACTTTAGGTTCCAGTACTTTCCAGGACATTTAGGTCTGGGCGATTCCCAGCAGCGGCAAGCCACCCCCGCCCTGCGCCGCACCCGTGGTCGCATTGGACTTTCCCCCGCGCGACGCCAGGAACTGTTTGTAGCCCCGCTCATCCGGGTACCTCCCCGTGCCCAGGTGCACCGCGTGCTCCACAAAGTGCGCCAGTCCGGGAAGGTCCTCCGGATCATCGAAGTAGCCAACGCCCACCTCAGCGCACGCTGCCGCGAAGACGGCCTCCTCGTCCTGGACCACCACCGCCCGCAGGCCGTTGCCCAGCCTGCGAAGCACGGCTCCAGCAGCCGCGCAGAGCTCAGCTTCCATCGAAGGTGGTGAACCAACAGCACCCCAATCTGCCAAGTTGGCAGGCCCACAATCTGGCCCATGAAAAGAGGATTGGGTGGGCAAACTGGGACGGTGCAAAAGCCCCACAACAAGGCAATCCTCAAAAGCGCGAATTTGTTGGAGTGTCCCGCAGATGCCGCGAGTTGAGAGCGCCATATTGCGGCTGCGCCACAAGCTGATCGGACGGTTGGTTGGGGTAGCCGATTGCAGCAACCCGCGCCCTACCTCAACCAGCGATACAGACGCTGGTCTGTCTTAGGCTTGGGGATGTCGTCGACGCTGAAGGTGGCCGCCATGGCCGCGGTGCCCTGCGCACTCCGGCGGTGATTGTGAACCTGCCAGTCGTGCCGACCTCCACTGAAGGGCCCAGTGGCCAACTTCCCACAGTATAGCCGCGGCCACGAACAATCACGGTTGATGCAAAACTGGCACAAAATCGCTTATTCTTGAACCAGCGCGGACGCACATGTGTCTCGTGCATCTTCCCTGGGTGCAGCCAACTTGGATCCGCTGCGTGCATCCAATTTGGAGGGGTGTCGGGCGCATATTTCCAGGCTGCAGCCAACTAGGATGCGTTGTATGCATCCAAGTTGGCTGCACCCTGGAAATATGCACGAGACACCCCTCGCGGACGGAAACTGTGGCATATGATGTGCGGGCCTGAGGGACCATGACTCAAGTACTGCAAGTTTCAGCATTTGGGAACAGTGGACTGTTGCTTTAGGCGACGAATCGACGAGTTTTCCTCCTTTGCAACTGTTGCAATCATTGAAGATGTGCAAATTTGTAAGGACATGCAGCATGCACATGGGCGATGTGCACTCCCCCTTTTGGTGCTCCCTAAGTGCGTGTTTCGAACAAAACGGTGGTGGTGTTCCGCGTGCAGCAGGAGATGCAGCGCCCTTGAGAAAGGCGTTGGGGCTGCGTCAGAGAGCACGGGACCATGGCAAGCTCAAATTGTGGCAATTCGTTGTCGACTGATACAGCACCGACGTGGCTTCTCCAAAACCTGGACATACGTGTGCACGACAACTACGGCGAAACGTGGCAGTACTTTAACAGGGTGCACGCAACACGGACAGACCTAAATTTGTCACCGCTCAAAACATCTTGAACAAAGTTGTGTCAAGTACTGGTCATCTACCTCCGAAGTGTCCTGGAACACCACTCTAAATAGTCAAGTAAATTATTAGTCAGAACGGCAAATTCACTAAAAGGTCTATGTGGCACATATCTAACAATGCACAGAAGCCCAACGCCCTTACCCCCGCATGCTTATTGTGAGTCGTTCCCTGAAATCTGCATGTTTGTTTTGACATCAGATTCTTTCTATGACTGGGCTGAGGTATTCACTGCAGTTTGCTTATGCAACGTGGATGGATGTGTTGGATTAGTCACCTTTTGGCCCTATACACGGATGTTCCCAGGGCAGGATGGAGCACGATGATAGGCAGGCACTGATCCACAGTGTTAGGTTGGGTGAAAGATGAGCTGAATGTAGTACAACAAAGCCAAGTCATGTGCTGCTCAACCTGTAAATTAAGAGTCCCATTCCATCCAGCCCTTGCTGCACAATTGCCCAACCAAAAATTAAGATCACCAAGTGCCATTGCCGAAAGCCAAGATACCTCCTCGTTTTTAGTCCAAGAATACTGTCCCTGGCACGTGGTTTTTCCGCGCGCGCCCCGTGCGATGGATCGTCGATCCCTCCGGCGGTCGGCCAGGCGTAATCGGCACGGTCGCTCGATTGATCTCGACGCGGCGCGGACGTGGTGGGCCCCTTGGCGGAACGGCCGCTGCGGTGCGTCAGTCGGAAGGGTGGATTGGGTCCGGCGTTGCCTTGCGCGCGGGTCGCAGGCAGGCAATGACAGCAAAACGGATGTTCGTTACAGGGTTCCCAGCGTCTTGTCCCCGCGGCACACAGCACGGTTACATAACCCTCAAGTCACCCTGTACTTTAACCACCGTCCCCACAAGCACCCAGACCGTCCCCAAAGCCCTTTTTCCAATGCAGCGATATGGACCGAAAATGGCCAAAATCTCCAAATCGCCTCGCTGCGCTCGATGCTCCGCGAAGGCGCGGATAATTGGTCCGCGCGCCTTTGCGTCGCATCTCACTCCGCTCGAATAAAGAACCAAAGGCATTGTTCACACAACAACTACCTCCCCCTGGGGGTAGTTTTCGACCTCGAAAACAATCAACCGTTTGTCGGCTGCCTCTGGTCCTCTGTGGGCTTGTCATCGTCGGATCATCTTCTCTAATTCTCTGGCGCTTGTGAAGTTTTCTGCCGGGATCCATGTCGCATCGTCAAGAGACCAGCCTGTCCACAACACAAGGAACTCCTTTTGTCGTTGACTGCTTGGTCCACGCCACCTCCACCTCAACAACTTCTCCACATCGTAAGGCTCATCATCCTCTGGCTCCAGCTCTCCCACTGCAGGTTCAGTAAACGTAGTCCACTGTGATGTCCTGAAGGGGCGTAGCAAGCTCGTGTGGAATACTGGATGAATCTTCCACGTAGATGGTAGATCCAACTCGTATGCAACAGGTCCAATCCTTTGAGCAATGAAGAAAGGTCCAATAAACCTGCGTTTTAGCTTGCGTACAGGTGCGTTCTTGAGCTGTAAGTTCTCCGTACTGAGTAGCACCTGATCGCCTGTATGGAACACCTGCTCACGTCGGCTCTGATCTGCGTAGTTCTTTTGCCTGTCTTGAGCTCTGCGCAGATACTGATGAGCCTTGGTGAAGATCTTCTGCATTCGAGACACAAAAATGTTGACTCCCTCATGGAAGGTGGTGTCAACGTCTCGAATAAGTTCTGCCGGGGTACACGGGTGGTAGCCGTAGTTCAAGTAGAATGGTGTGTACCCGGTTGCTGTTGACGGAGTGTTGTTGATGGTGAATTCTGCCATTGAGAGATATTTCTCCCACTGTCGGGGCTCTTGACTTGCGTGTAGTGTGCAACGCAATGTCATCTCCACCACCCGGTTGACAGCTTCTGTCTGTCCATCGGTTTGCGGATGGTGCGCTGTTGACATCCTCAACTTGCTTCCTAGCAACCTCCAGAATTCCTGCCAAAACCTGGAGACAAATCTTGGATCCCTGTCACTGACAACTGACCTTGGAATCCCGTGTAGTTTCCCCACGTAGTTCCAGTAAACCTGGGCTGTCTCTGCAGCTGTGATGGTTTGGTACACCGGAATAAGATGTACCATCTTGGTAGCCCGGTCCACGACTGTGAGGATCCCGTCTCGTCCAGATTCTGACTTGGGCAGTCCCATGATGAAATCCAAGCTGATATCTGCCCACTTATGTTCTGGTAGCTGCAGTGGCTGAAGAAGTCCTGCTGGTTGGCGATGCACACTTTTCTCTGATTGACACACTGGACAGCTGGTCACGAATTCCCTGATGTCCAATGTGTGATCCGGCCAGTAAAAGTTCTGCTGTAGCTTTTTCAAAGTCTTCTGATATCCCACATGTCCTGAGTAAGGCACTGAATGCACTTCCTCCATGATTTGCTGCTTAACCTCAGGGATATCAGGAATAACCAATCTCCATCTATTTACTTCTTCTGGTCCTTCACGATCATGTATCTCCAAGCAATCATGAGATATTCTGAATTCCTTAACTCCTCTCTTGACCAGATTTTTCTGTGGGTCTGACTTCAACTCAGTAACAATGTCAGCCCACCGAGAATCAATCTCATATGTATCCTTGATCTTTTCCCGCATAGATGAATCCAATGAAATTCTTGATCTCGTCACAAACAACGCAGAATGACACTCACTTGCTCCTGCTCTTGATGTCTCTGTTCCTTTGAACACCTGATCCAACTTGTCTTGGATGTGCTCATCTGTAACCTCCTCATCGCCCAATCTCAATCGCTGAACCATCGACTCCTCATGCGCTCTGATATCCACCATGCTTTGTAGCTCCTTCACACTGCGCCTAGACAGGTAGTCTGCAGGGTTGACCTTGCCTGCGATGTGTACGATGTCACAATCGTAGCCCTGCAGCACCTGTATCCACTTCCAGACCCGGCGATTCACTGAGGGCTGGTTTGGAAGGTTCTTGAGGGAGTCGTGGTCGGTTTGAATCACAAAATGCTGACCAGCCAGGTAGTGCCTCCACTTGCCAACTGCCCAAACGATCCCCAGCATTTCGCGTTCGTACGCGCTGTATCTGCACTCTGTCGGGTTCAGCTTCCTACTCTCATACGCCACTGGCTGCAACCCCTGACCAAAATTCTGCTGCAGTATACCTCCTACAGAGACCTCTGAGGCATCGGTGGTCACTGTAAACTCACGATCGAAATCAGGCAACTGCAAAACAGGTGCAGACACTAATGCTGTCTTCAGCCTTTCAAAGGCTTCATCCTCCTTTGGGCCCCATTCAAACTTGCGATCTTTTTTTGTGAGGTCTGTCAGTGGATTGGCTATCTCACTAAACCACCGGATAAATTTTCTGTAAAAATTTGCCAGTCCTACAAACGAACGTACATCACGAACTGATTCAGGTATCGGCCACTCAGCAATTGCACGAATTTTTGATAGTGAGGGCTTTATCCCGTATGCCCCCACATCAAATCCCAAATACTCCACCTCGGTACGAAAGAAGTCACACTTTGCCAGTCTCCCGTAGAACTTCTCTGACCGTAGGCGGCTCAGAATGCTGCGAAGATGCTGTATATGTTCCTCTCTAGTCCGACTGTACACCAAAATGTCGTCGAGGAATACTAAAACAAACTTGTCCAGCCCATCTCGTAGAATTGTATTCATTATTCTCTGGAAAGTGGCTGGGGCGTTGCACAGGCCGAAGGGCATAACGAGGTACTCAAAAGAACCATATCTGCTGACAAAGGCGGTCTTCTCGATATCAGACTCTCGTACTCGGATCTGGTGGTACCCTGAGTAGAGATCGATCTTGGTGAAGTACCGCGCCCCGTGTAGTCTATCCATGAGTTCCTCGACCTTCGGTAGTGGGTAGCGATTCTTCACGGTGATGCGGTTCAAGGCCCTGTAGTCAATACACATGCGCCACTTTCCATCCTTTTTAGGGATGAAAAGTATAGGCGATCCATACGGGCTTGAACTTGGCCGTATCCAGCCCTGCTCCAGTAGCGTCTCTATCTGTCTCTTAAGCTCGTCCATCTCAGCTGGACTAAGCTTGTAGGGGCTCTTATGCGGAGGGGCTTCCCCGGGCACCGTATCAATTTCATGATCTATCTGGCGTTTCGGTGGTGGCCCATAGGGAAGCTTGTCCGGGAACACATCCTGAAACTCCTCCAATGTAGCC